TACCTCCCTTAAGACCACACATACCTATGCATGTTAAAACCATGCATAATCATGTAATAGGATGATTGTGCGCAGTTATTTTGCTATATGTACTTATGGTGCATGTATGCTTGTCACAGCTTCCAAGAGCATGTACACAGAGCACAGTAAATACTTAATGCAACTCTAATAAGTTATAGACCCAAGTTTTTTTCCCTCCCCACCACTTTAAATAGGAAGTGTTTTTTGTAGGAAATCCTGTAATGTTTGAAGTAGCCCAGTGGTTCTTAACCTTTGTTGAGTCATGGATCCTCTTCAGAATCTGGTGAAAGCTATGGACGTCCTCCCCAGAAAAATGCACATTAACACATACATGGAAACTTTTTGCATACAGTTTCTTTTATTGCATTGGAAATTGGTTTCCTTTTTGAGCTCAGTTCACAGACCCCACCTGAAGCCCATCTGTGGACCCCATAGGGGTCTATAGACCACAAGTTAAGAACTGTTGAAGTAGCCCTTGGAAATATCCTTACCAAGTATTGATTCTATGCCAGCTGATGTTATCACTTAAAGGTAAAGGGACCCCTGACCATTAGGTCCAGTCGTGACCGACTCTGGGGTTGCGGCGCTCATCTCACTTTATTGGCTGAGGGAGCCGGCGTACAGCTTCCGGGTCATGTCGTCACGGGGATTCGAACCGCTGACCTTCTGATCGGCAAGTCCTAGGCTCTGTGGTTTAACCCACAGCGCCACTCGTGTCCCGCATGATATCACTTAGAGAGAACTATATAAAAGAAGGGGCAGCTGATCCAAGGTCTCTTCCTGAAGTTTAAGCCTTTTCTTCATGCCGCAGTGTTTTCTACTGTTAAAGAAGAGAATTTCTTAAACCAAGCTGAAGAAATGCACGCCACTACCATAAACACCATAAAGGATCCTGTTTATTGTAGATATCATTGTTGCACAACTGCCCTTCCATTTGCTATTCTGTGGGTATGGTTTTGGCAGAGGGAGTTGCAAGGAATAGAAATTCCTGGTGCGCCTTTATTCCAATTGTAGACGTAGTTCCCAATGATTGATTTAGCAAATAGCCTGCTACTTCCAACTATCCATGCCTAGGAGTGAGGGCAGGTGGATTTATTGGGCATGCTTGAGGTGAAGGTGTAAGGAACATGGTGCTGCTGGTATGTGTCTCTTAACTACCAAGGTATCTGGGGGTATTTTGCTCTGATATTTGGTTAGTTTAAAATGCACTGTTATTATAATGATAAGATGTGGTGAGGACAGGTAGGTGGGGGAGAGGAAATCAGTGTAAAAGAAGGAAACAGGAAAAGAAAATGTTATCCTTTGTTTAGTTCTAAAGGCCACTATCCAGCTAAAGCACAAAGGAAAGTCGATGGAGTTTTATAGAGGAGCCAGGGAGAAAATTAGGGACAACAAAACTACTAAACAAATAAGGAGTAAAGAGCAACCATTACCTTCAGATACCTAGGAGCTGCCCTGCCTAATCACTGTTGGAGATTTTATGATTCATAATGTTGGTACATTTACTGCTTGCTGGTGATTAGATGGAGACTGAAGACTAAATGGCTAAAATGACCCCAAGGCTTTTACATCAGTAATCTTAGATCTCCACTGTCTGATCATTATCTTGTCCTCTGTTTGTTACATTGATGCATTACAAAATTGGGCCCATGATTGTAATGGGAGTGTTGGAGACAGATTCCACAAAACACTGTTCTTTGCCACTTTTCTGGTTCTTCAGCAGATAATATAAAAGTATTTTTTTGATCATCACTGCGTTTCCCAAAATAGGGATGTTCTCTATTAGTACTATGGTGAAATTATATTGCAAAAGCGATGCTTAAAAAACCCAGCTGTACTTCAGCTTCTTTACAGACTAGTGGAGAAAATGTTGTTTATTTCATGGTAACCTCCTTACAACTAGTGGTAATGCAGTTACTCCCAGGAATTAAGTAATTTCTAAACAGACAGGTTTTTTTGTAAATCATTTTACAGTGGTACCTCGGGTTAAGTACTTAATTCATTCCGGAGGTCCATTCTTAACCTGAAACTCTTCTTAACCTGAAGCACCACTTTAGCTAATGGGGCCTCCTGCTGCCACTGCACCTCCGGAGCACGATTTCTGTTCTCATCCTGAACCAAAGTTCTTAACCTGAGGTAATATTTCTGGATTAGCAGAGTTTGTAACCTGAAGCGTATGTAACCTGAAGCGTATGTAACCCGAGGTACCACTGTATTTGTGCTTATTGCTGACCTCTAAAGGGAGATAATGCACATATATAGGTACTACAATTGCTTGGCTGGTTGTGTGTGGTTATACATCTATCCCACGTACAATGGATTTTTGAAATGGGTTTATTTCCCATTGTATCCATTCCTTGCTAGAAATATCTTTCCTTCCAGGGATGCCTTCATTGCTGTAATCTCATAGCCATTCTGAGATGTACTGTGGTTTGGAGTAAGGCCCATCGTTACATTGCTGCCTCTCTGGGTTTTATGGTGTCAGAAGACATTGCATCATTGTGTTGTGACATTTGGATAAATAATTAATCATCCACAATCATAGGAGATAGATTTCACTTTGCAAGGGTAAAGGGCTAAAATCTCAAGACGGTGGATTATGTGAGAGTGTCTAATTGTCCAGACAGGTCTCTGTGGTAGGCTGCATAGGAAATATCCTGTGGTGACATGATCTTAACGAGAAATCACTTTGATTGTTGGAAACTCATGTCCCCTAATATTAATGCAAGTGCTTTGGATTCTGTAAAATAAAACAGTGCAAATGATTTCTGCTGAGCAAGTGAAAGGGAATCCCTGGGTATCTGTTTAGCATCTTGCCTTCTTCTTTCTTCTTCTTTGACGATCACTCTTAGCCAAGTAAGATTGTCTTCCATGAACACAATCTTAGCATCTTGATTACTGCTAACAGTCATAGTTGGCTCATACAAAATCAGCTTAAAAAAACACACCACCATTTGAGTTTCTGTTCTTATTGCTGGGCTTTATATGGCATGCTATGGTGGTAATGAGGTTCCATTTCAATAGACGTAGTTCTGCTTTTAAGCCAATGTAACAACTCTGCCTCCTCCCTGCCTCCAGGGAGTGGGGGTTATTGGTTTGTTTTTATTCTTGTTTTTATTATGTATTTTGTTTTTTTATCTTGTATTGTTATGTTGTGAACCACTCTGAGATCTACGGATGAAGGATGGAATACAGATTTAATAAGTAACAACAACAATTCTCCTATAAGAATGAAAGCTTGTAATCTGTATGTCTATTGATGTGGCATATTGTTATGATAGTAGTGGTTTAAAATCACAGCTGATGGTAATGCTTCAAGCTCACTCCAGTGTTTTTACACTAGTGTTTCTTCTAGCTAGGTGCAATATTATATTTTTCCCTATGATACATGTTTTCTTCAAGTATATAATGTGATAAATTCTTGCCTTGCTTTAACAACATTGAAAGAAGAAAAAGGGAGGGGCAGAACTAAAAATATTGATACGCTCTCCTGCAAAAGGAAACAAAGCTTCAAAATGATGCTCAACATAGAAAGTTTTATTATGTTCTGCCACCTTTAGGAGTTCTATTGATAACAAAGAGTTTATTAAATATTTAAAAATATTATTCAGTATATTTTGTAGACATACACAATTTGAGGTCACTAGTATTTTTAAAAAATCACAAATATTTTTCCAAATGCCCCATGCAAGGGTTATATGCCAAAACAAATTGAGCATAGTAATAATTATTTAATAATAATAATAATGTTATTATTTATACCCAGCCACTCTGGGCGGCTTCCAGCGGAATATGTCAAACATTAAAAACTTCCTGATACAGGGCTGCCTTCAGATGTCTTCTAAAAATTGTGTAGTTCTTTATCTCCTTGACATCTGATGGGAGGGCGTTCCACAGGGAGGCCGCTGAGAAGGTCCTCTGCCTGGTTCCCTGTAACTTCACTTCTTGCAGTGAGGAGACTGCCAAAAGACCCTCGGAGCTGGACCTCAGTGTCCGGGCTGAACGATGGGGGTGGAGACACTCCCTGGGCCAAAGCCGTTTAGGGCTTTAAAGGTCAGCACCAACACTTTGAATTGTACTTGGAAACGTACATGTTACAATGAAGCTTTTCTCTTCGGTGAAGCTGGATGTTGGAAGATACAGTGGTACCTCGGGTTAAGTACTTAATTTGCTCCGGAGGTCCGTACTTAACCTGAAACTGTTCTTAACCTGAAGCACCACTTTAGCTAATGGGGCCTCCTGCTGCTGCCGTGCCGCCGGAGCACAATTTCTCTTCTCATCCTGAATCAAAGTTCTTAACCTGAAGCACTATTTCTGGGTTAGTGGAGTCTGTAACCTGAAGCATATGTAACCTGAAGCGTATGTAACCTGAGGTACCACTGTACAAGACAGTCATCATAAAGTACTTCACATTAACAACATGTGTGAAGTACTATGTTATGGCTTTGTGTGATTCCCACAAGATGTAGTGAGGGCCACCAACTTTAAAAGAGAATTAGTCAAATTTATGTAGGGTAAGACTATGTTCTACCCTCACTGCCAGTTCCACTCACATTCTGCCTTAAGGCTTCCCATAGACTTCTGCATAACTAATGTGAGAACAGGATGCTGTATTGGATAAGCAATTTGCCTGACCTAGAAGGCCCTTTTTATGCATAAGGCACAAGAAAGACCATCTCCTGTCAGGTGTTAAGATTGGCAGAGAGACTTCTTGGTAGTTTCACTGCCCTCAGAACTCCAGCAGGGTGGTTTTGGAGAGGTCACTCTGTGGCAGCTCCTAGGTTGTGGAATTCCCTCCCCAACAGAGGTGCATTGGGTCCCTTCATTATGCAGTTTCTGACATACGCTGAAGATGCGCCTCTTTACCCTGGCCTTTGACACCTGAAGTGTGTGTTTTCAGGACCCACCCTATTCCCGCGACTAGAATTTGTTTTAACTGATTCTAATATTGAGTTTTAAATGGTTGTAACTCCCACTGGGACCTGCTGGTTCAAGGTGGATGGTGATGATAATGATAGCCGGTAGAACTTGATAGTTTTAACCTCAAGGCTGTGGGTTCAAGCCCCATGCTGGGCAAAAGATTCCTGCATTGCAAGGCGTTGGACTAGATGACTCCTGTGGTCTCTTCCAACTTTATGATTCTTTAACAATGATAATAATTTATAATGGTTTAGGCTAGAGTTGCATAGTGGAGCATGGAAGAACGTTCTGCTGCCTGAGCTTAGATTTCTGATCTAACTTTGGAATCTGCCCCCACTCTTAGGATTGTGTTGCTGATGTGGCCCAAACTGTCACATCTGTCTCAGGCTAGGCCACTTGTTATAACAACCTTTGCCTGAGAGACATGATACACTCTCCAGATCCAAGCCCCAAGGCCTCTCATTAGTTTCACTGAGCTTTTATAATCTCATACCAGTGACTTTTCCATTGATGGGGTGGCTTAGGTTGATATTAAACTTGTCTTTCCAGACCTTTATAATACTTAGTAGTAATACTGCTTTGCTTGTTCCAGTGGCTGTTCAAAGTTATAAATGACAAAGGGCACTTGTCCTCTAGTGGCTGTGGTTTCTTGCTGCATAAAACCCATAAGTCCTCTGGAGCAAAGTAGTAAATTTTCCTTGGAAAGGTTTATAGCTGAGTACATTGAAAGTTAAACACTGAGGCTGTGGGCCAGCAAAAATCACAAATCTTTGCAATGAAAACATTCCAGGCGTATTGCTAGAACTGTCACCTTTCCTGCTAAACATTTTCTTTTAAAAACAAAATATCACTCAGAGGTAATGTGTGATTTAAGGCAGTTGGGACATAAAAGCTGAAACAAAAAAATCCTTTCTACTATCCCCCCCCCCCCTTGCATCCAGTTGTTTTTACCTGATACCCATTTTTGCATACCAACAGATCAAAAGAAATAATGCTGTTGCTATTTTCAAGGGCTGAAAGAAAATCATTTGTGTGGGGAACTTCTTCAAGGGTGGTATAGAAATCATTTAAATAAACAAAAATGAATAATACATCCCTATGCAAAAGTATTAGCAAATAGTGGATGCAAGCTAACAAGGGTTAAGGCTAATAGGGTCTCTGAAGAATGTTGGGCAAATGATGCTTCAATGAGGCCAGGCAAAATGGAGAGATTTTGAGCCAGGGTTCTGGGGAAATATTCAAAATGGCAGAGGGATACCTTAGCAACAAGTGTCAGAGGTGAAGCACAGAATAGCTCAGTCTGATTTGATATTTGAAGGAGAACGGTGCCCTCTCTCCTTGTCCTAGCAATGTGTTTCCTTTCATGTATTGCACACATTAGCATGTTTATGCAACTGATGTTTTGTGGAAATGGAAAGCACTTAGCAGCACCGGAGTCACCTAATGAATTATGTCCGTGGATGCACTGCATAAAGGCTTCTTTACACTTGTGCAACAGGGTTTCCACCCCACCCCACCCCCAATTGGATTGGGTGGGTCAGGCAAACTCCTAAAACCTCACATAGTGGGAGGGAAGTGGGGATTCTTCTTTGGTGAGCAGAAATACTTGCACAGATGGAATGTTCGACATACGTTGAACGTTCATCACTTCTGAAAAAGTTTTGTGATTTCTTCATATTTGAATCCTCTGTTGTAATAAGGGGTAAACTTGAATTTGCGCGCGCACACACACATCTGTCTGTCTTGAGCCAACTTTTTTCTGCCTGTGTATGCTCCATATCCAACACCTTATTTTAGTAATGTAGTCTTTGCTAGTGGCAGGAGATGGCTTACCCAGATGCCTTCAATTATAGGACTTCCTGTCAGATGTGGGATCTCTTGGCTCAGACCAACCATGTGATAAAATTCTGGGATATGAAATTATACCATCTGCTTGTTGTGTGCCACCGTTTTAGAAGAAATCTATTTTAAAAGTTTGTTCAAATTATAAAGAACATGTAGGGCCTTGCGACAAAATACTGCAGTGTGCGCTGTTTTTATGGTCAGAGTTTCAGGCACATGATTCCTCCCTGTCCCGTCCCCCCACCGCAACAGCCAGCCAGCATTCTGTGCCCACTGAGCATATCACTCTTCTTTCAACTCCTCCCCCCTTTCATTTGCACTCCCTGTTTGTTTTTAGGGATGTGTGTGGAGTGGACACACTTGCCCAAGATTCCAGCTACATTACATTCTTTAACTTTTCTGCTGAAGTGTATGAGCCACCCCTTTCTATCCCTGGGGACTTAAAAAAAATAGCTTTATGGTGTGAACCAAAAAGTAACCAATATCATGAGGTGATTTCCTTATGCCCTTTCATATATATATATATATATATGCCCATGTTTCTTCTGTACTCCTTTTTCAGCAATGCCATTCTTCCCCCTCCTTTCCAGTTGTATTTTTGTTTTTGTAGATTATCCCCACTTTAGCATATTTTAAATTCAGGTTTATTTTGGGGTTACATCAAGTTTGTAAGTGAGGCTACATAGAGTATACAGAAAGCCTAAGAGGTAAGTCCATAGGACATACCCTCCATTAAGCAAATTAAGTGGAGCTTTAACTTAAGACAAGATTTGGTCCCAAGCTTTTTCAATGCCATGTTTTGCAAATTGTGAGATAAATCAGTGGAAATGTACAGAATACATTTTTCTCATCACTGCATGCAGTTGAGAAGGCTCCTCTTGCTGATTTAGCACACTGGTACATCCTGTTTTAAACTTCTAAGCCACAAAAGAGAGTGTATCTTGGGAGCAGTGTCAACTTTTCATATATTCAGCACTTGCAGCTGAACATAGGGTTTTTCATATATGAACATCTGAAGCTGGCTTCGATGGACTCATAACACTGGTCTTTCTAGTGTATAACCATCTCCTCTGCCCTGGAAGTGGCTCTTTAAGATCTCAGGCAGGGGACTCACACAATCCTGCTATCTGACATCCTTTGCTAGCTTCATAAGCAATTGAACCTTGGACTTTAGAACTCTTGGAACAGCTTTCTCCAACCTGGTGACTTTCAGATGTTTTTGGCCTACAAGTCCCATCATCCTTGACCATTGGCCATGCTCACTGACACTGATGGTCCCAACAATAGCTGGAGGGGACCAGTCTGTGGAGTTACATGGCTTGCTACCTCATCTGCTGTTTGTGAGAACTACGTTAATGGTTCATGTATTTACTGCCTGTTTCAGAATAAAGAACACATGTAATTTGGACTTAACATTTCTGAATGAGAGAAGCAGAGCCTAGATGGTGATTTGCATCCCTTTTGGGATTATACCAATTGAATTTCTGAAGAAAAAGGATTTGAACTACATTTATAAAATGCTGAAGGCATTTCTCTAACCCAAGGCAATTTTATTTCCCCCAAATAACATTCATGACTGAAATGCACATACTGCTTAAAAAAGCAACACCACTGCAGAGCAGAACAAGGGCTTTGAAAACCATCTGGATAGCTGTTCAGGAAATTGGCAACACATTCAGAAGAGAGTTTTTTTTTAATTGAATTACCAGAAACTAACTCTGTTGCAAAAATTATCCCGCTCTTTTGTAAAGTGAGGAAAGCACGAAAAATGTGGTTATAATAAATGTGGAACTACATCTGCAGTGGATTAGCAATATTCTTTTGTAGACAAATTAAAAAAACAAATTTGGAAAAATATAACAACTTAAATGACCATTTCCCCCCCTCTATTCCTTGTCAAAAGGTCTATCTTCCATTTTTCTTCCCCAGCCATGTAGTGCTTTATTGTTCTGACTGCTGAGATGCCCATATCTGATTCTACTAATTGTAGCTCTATTAACATTTTTTTTCCTGGCAGTGTGCTAAGAACATAGAAGTGCCTCTCGTACAGACTTTTTGCAGTGGGCAAGTTCACCTACATCACTATACAATGCAGTTCAAACGCTTTATAGGGCGAAATGTAACAATAACTTGGATGCAGTGTCAAACAAGCTCTGATAACATTTTAAAAGTCCACCCTGCATGTTCATTTAGTTCTTTCCTTTGCAACAGACTTACCTTTTTTCAACTTAACGTTTTTGTTTTGTGTTCCAGAGTAAGGAAATTGGACTTCAGATGCACGAAGAACTCCTGAAGGTGACCAATGAACTCTACACTGTGAGTAACATGACTCTTGCACTTCTAAAATGATTTTTTTTGTCAGACTCTGGTCCAAAATCTGACATTACTAGGGTCTTCTTTTACTTTCCTCCTCCTCCAATAAATCGCCCCAGAATTTACTTCCTACTTCCCTGGAGCTAGAGATGAAAAGTGACTGTAAATACTGGTTATGGTGGGAGTGCTAGAATTGAGAGGTGTAGTTGTATATCTGTTGAGAAATATACATGTTGCTGGTGGCAAACATCTCATTGTAGTGGCAGGTAGTATACCAGTGGAATGTTTATTACTCCATCACTACAAGATAAACAAAAGGCACTGCAGCTTAGGCATGCTTAACTGAAAATGGGACAGTAGTAAAGGCATCTGGTGAGGTGGGGCAAGATGAAGGAAGAAGATGGTCGTGAGGGTTTAGTGACAAGTACATTAAGCAGTTTTGTAATATAAGATATTGCAAGTTTCTGAGATGGTTTGTGATATGATTTGAAAGAGGCATGTATGACACCAGTAAACTGGCAATCCCCCTGCCTCTGCAAATGCCTTTGCTTCAATTCTCTCTCTATATATTTAATACTAGAAATTACAGAAATGGCTTAAGGTGATGATATTTTGGCATGGCATTTGGAACTCAATCAAGAGGTCATGTTTTTGGTTAGTTTTGAAACAGACCATACATTCCAGACTATGCACAGTCAAAGGACTTTCTCATAATTAAAGCTGGGGGGAAACTCCCCCCTTTCTGTTTAAATTCACATTGGTATGTGGGATATTTAGTTTAATATATAAACTTAGTTTTTCTACTAACTATGCCGTGCTCAAATCTCATAATATATAATATTCAGAGAGGTATTCTGAGTGCCCAGAACTGGACATAGTACTCCAGATGTGGTCTGACCAGTGCAGAACAGAATGGAACAGTTACCTTTCATGATCTGGACGCTGTGCTTTTGTTAATGCAGCTAAGATTGAATTAGGTTGGGTTTTTTAAAGAGCCTCAT